TGGTGTACCTGCAGCACCCTGAGGTGATGGCCAAGTACAGGCAGCCTCTGCCTCCAAGGCTCTTCATGGAGCTGTACATCACTGCAAACAGATCCATGCTCATAACAGCAGTAAGAATTGAAAATAGAGGTTCTCAAACTTAGTGGCACTTACACCACGTCCTTTTGCACCATCAGACTGGTGTTAACCTGACTTCACAGGCTAAGGCAAAGTCCACTGTCATTTTTTAATTCATCCATTTTATTCAAGGAGCAGCACATTTTTAGAGAAACTGAACCTCTTTTATGTGTCTGTCCTCCCTCCCAGGTCCAGGTGACCAAAACAGGAATGGCGTTGCCTTGGTGGCCCATCAAAGGCCAGCCCAAGCACTTCCCTGGTGTGCCAGCTCACTTCACTGTCTACTGACGCTCTTGCCCTTGCTCTCACTGCCCTTATAAAGTGTGGTATGAATTGGAGTTGTTTAGGCTGTTAAATAAGACCAGCTGTGTTAATTTTATCTCCACTCAAAACAAAGCAAAACAAACACACAGAGAAAGGGTTTGACAAGGAGAAATAGAAGGAGGAAATCAATAGGGAAATAAATAATGTTTTTTAAGCTTCTAAGAGGGTATTAAAATAATGCAGATTAAAGAGCAAACAAAAGCTCTGAAGCAAGCTGACGGTGTCCTTTTAAGTGAACATGTGTGGGTTTATACATTCACATATGCCCTACAGGTGCACTTGCCAGATATCCACCCAGACTGTACAAAAAGTATGTGTGATTTTCCCTCCTTTCCCTCCACCCCACCAGACATGTTTACTATAAAAGAAGCTGAACAAGTTTGGTTCTTCCTAATAAAAACTGCTAATAATTATTTCAAGTATACAAAGACTTGCTGCTTTTCTTTTTCTTATAAGCCAAAAATATCAGTAAGATCTTCTGTTTGTTACTCTCAGCACTTCAGCCATCACCCTGGTTTTTAGGCATTGGCTAGAAATTTTGTAGGAAAAAAGAATTACTACCATCTCTTCAAATAGTTTCCTTGGCTTTTGCCTCAGTTTCTCAGCAAAATAATCTCTGAGAATGTTGTTGATACTCTTTTACGGAGTTAAAACCTGTCATAAGATGGATTCAGGAGCAAATTTGAAGGCCACCTCATCTTGGCCATCTCATATCAGACACCAAGTCTGCCCCCCTCTGTGATTAAAGGAGAGAGCAAAAAAGGGCACAGAAGCCCTGACCGCCCCACTCCTCTGAGACTGGCAGGGGGAGTGCCATGTCCATCAATGACTGGGGAGAGGGAGGTGGCAAAGGAAGTACAGAAAAGCTAAACCACAGCATGTTGATGGAACTTAATCTAACCTGGCTGCAAAGCTGATGGTTTTGATGAGAATGACATGCCCGTCAATAATTTCCTGGTCTGTCAATCTCTTTTATATAGAATCCATAGAAGACCAGGACTGTTTTAAATTCAGTAGATTGCCACATTTTGGGATAGGTCTGGTCACTGCACTGAAATATTATCCTTGGTCATACAACTCACAAGCTTTACCGTGACCATTATTGTCCTTAGCCCCCATCGGTGCCTGGGATATCTGGAGCTGAGTCAATTGGCTGTGCACGGTCTGTAGTAAATGTGAGAAAAAATATGACAAAGTTAAGAAAATTACGCTTTTAGTAAGCAAAGAAACTATGAATTGCTACTAGTGATGCCCATGGGTTTTCCAGCTGCCTACACAACAGGAGAAGAAAGCCAGAGAGGCAGAAGGATTTCTTGAAAGTTCTTATTTCTATCCCATTTGTAGGTGCCTATCTCCTAAAAATTATCTCTGCAAATTATTCCCATATCTCTATCTCTTTCTCTATGTAATCCTCATTCTAACACTTCACTGACACATCTCTGACAATTATTAATGGCTAAAACTAAATTTACTGCCCATCTTCCCCATTTTTTCCACTGCTCTTAACCTCACACTTCCTTCAGCCTATGTTCAAGGAAAATTTTAGATTCTGCTTCCTCTTCCCGTCACTGTATGAGCCAAGTCAGTTTGCCTCCTCCTACACAATAGCTCACAGATTCATCCTTTCTTCAGCAGCCAGCAAAGGCTCATAGCAGGATCCTGTCATTTTGCACTTCGTCTGTATTAATCTGGTCTCCAGCCATATTCCAGCACTACTGCTGCCTTCACTTCATTCAAAATAGCAAGATTATAACACTGTTTCTGGCTGATTGCTTTGGCTGCATCACCACTCTACTTGTGTCCTTCCAGTGGCTTCACATTTCTGAACACAAGCATCTTATCTTTACCTCTAAGATCCTTCACATTTAGCTTCACCCTATCTGTCAAATATATTAGCCTATCAAACTGTCAGCTTTTGCCTGTGATCTGACAAAGATGACAGCCTTCATCACCACGTCTGCTTCTTCTTTAGTCACTTCTATGCTTTCATCTGCCTGTCCCCTATGCATAAGGAAAACTACTGTGGAGAATTCTTAATTTAACCTTCCTTGCAGGCTTTTCCATCTGGGGACAGAGAAATAAACTCCATAACTCCCTTCCTGCAGTGGCCAAGCAAATGCAAAGCTGTGATTTCAGTATCCCTCCTAAGCCCTGTTCAGTTTATATTGCTGTATCTTTTCATCTGACTCTGCTGCATCAACTACTTTGTCTGTCTCACACATATTCTCTTCTTCTCATCTCTTCTTCTCCAGTCAGTAAATTTCACCCCTAGATAGTGGCAGTATCCTATAGCCATAGCAGTATTCCTGCTTATGCTATTGACATGCTGGCCAGTTCCAACTCAGATTGTCACTTCTAAGGTCTTCCTCCCATGGTCTAGTTATGTGCTGTGAAAGAACTGCTTCATGCCCTCTGCATATGAGCTTTTCCATCCTGGTTGTTCAGCGGCCGCAATCAGAGCCTGCCTTTAAGATAATGACCTGGTCATAGACTCTAGCATTGCAATGATTATTTTACTGAACAAAGCTATCATTATTATTCTGCTTGCTTAGGTCTTGGGAACCTCTTTAGGCTGTTGGCTTGATGCACTTCAGGAGGGGTTATAGCACTGGATTGCTCAGGACTTTGAGACAACTAATGGATATTAATGACTAGACTCATTGTTATATAATTGCAGAATATCAGGAAGCTGTTATACTCAAGTAGTTTTGGCAACCTCCCCTTCTTTCACAGAAGCCAAAATCTTGTACCTGGACTGTACTGCCTAACAAAACTGTGCTCTTTCTGGCCATTTTTCATTTGCTGCTTCTACTACTACAAATTCTTGGCAATGAACCTTACTGTAACAAGACTTACGATATGGAGTTAAATGACAGAGTATGGAAGAGGTTTTAACTTTATTAACTCTTAGCCACCACAGTGGAATGGTGTTATATTTTGATTTTTTATTCTTTTGATGTTTTTAGAAATCCCACAGAAACACTGCTGACTAAAGTTCAGTCACTCATAAAACTTTATAGATCATTAAAATTTCTGTTTATTCCAGCTCTGAGGGAGATCTAGGTTGCACTATTTTAGATGTTACTAACTTTTATTTCTTAAAGACCAATAAAAATCAGGTCCAAATTACACCCAGAGATTTAGTTTAGAGGTTAATTTTGCCAGCGGACAGCCTGGAAAATTAAATTTTATCCCAAAGAAATCACATTCATTTATGTTTAATTTCATGGACCAATTTCAGAACATGCACCAGAAGTCAAGTAGACAGGAATCCTTGTGGTGTTCCTCATTCCTTATAGAAAGTGATACTTTTTAATCTAAAACACTATGTTTAATTAACTTACTTCACTTTCCATTTCACTGGGCCTTGTACCTTGACTGCTCAGAGGGAGAACACACAAGCTTACTCTGGTTCTATTTTGGATGAACTAAGTCCCCAAAAATCAAAACCTTTGAAATTTCTCTATTACAAGTATTGTTCAAATAAGTGTATAAACTGTGTTATGTTGTTATGGCAAAAAGACCTCTCATGTGCCTTGTGTTCTTTGGACAACCCAACCAAGGTTCTTCAGCCCAGCAAAGGTTTTTCAGCAGCATGTCCTGAGGAGGAAAATCTGCCTTAGACAAAGGGATTCATCATAAAACAGTGAATTTAATCATCGTGACTTCCCTTCCACTACGTTGTGTCTATTTGCCTTTTTTGCTCCCTATCCAGAATTATACGTCAATTTGTTTGCTCCTGTTTCCCAGTACTCCTCTGCTACTGGCTTCCATATCTATGCAGACCTGCCCCAGGGCTGCACTTAAGCAGTAAATTTCAGCATGTGAACTGCCTCAGGAGATGTTAGCTTGTGCTTAACTCTAATGAGTTTTTCTGATCAACATGTTTAAATATTGAAATGCTGGCAAATATTCAGATAGTAGTTTTCTTCAGGCTCCTGCTGTCTTCATACAAGTTTTGCAGGTAGCTATTGCAGGTGCTGTCTGTGTCCAAAACTGGAAAGCACTAATTATTTTCCCATGCTAAATCATCTTCTTGGTCAGTGTATTACTCTCCTGTTTCAGGTTTCAGTGATGATTAAAGTCGTAGAGAAATCTTAGCTACTCCGAGGTCAAAAAAATCTCCATTGGAACCTCTAACATTTAACATACTCTGCTGATACTGCTCTTCTCTATAGAAACTTCTTTAAAGCTTTGCATAGTAAATGAGACATTTACATGCAGTTCATAACTCACCGGTTTCAAAAGATCTGTGTCTCTGTCCAAGAGCTGCATAAATACATCATGTTTTTCCTTTTTTATAGGATTACTTTAGAACAAACACATTGTGTTATGATCGGTAATAAAATTAATAAATCTCTGAAACAATTCACAGCTTTCTGATTTATTTCAATGGTCAATGCAACACCTTGTGTTCACATTGAGCTTTTTGAAAATTATATATGGCTATGTTGACAAGTTAATTTTTTCCATACCATCTCTTTCTCACTACCTAATGAGACTGAAGACACATATAGCTCAACTATTTTTCATAATGTACTTTCTGGAGTATTTAGCACTTATGTTTTATATCAATTTTTATTTTTAGTTATGAATTAGCACTTCAACCCTAAAATCCCTCTGACAAGAACTTGAATGTACATGTATTTTTCCAAGTGTCACAAATAACACATGCAAATGTGCATACAATGTACATGTTTGCTTGTCAAGGAGAGGAAGGAGGGTATATCAAAACATTTGGATCTTCATTTCACACAGGCATGCTGAAGTTTGGACATTTGTTCGAAGTCTATCCAAATGTATCTGAGTATTTTGGCTCTGGAAATCAATCGGAAATCTTGCAAGGTCAAACTTTCTCATGAGATTACCTCTAATACCTCTTCAGCTTCAGTCAGGCCAGTAAAAATACCACAAAATACTCTCTTGTCCACTCTTTCTCCCAGCTGAAAATGGAAAAGATGAGGAATGTGAAAATTAAACAATTAATCAAATTTTTTCCAACCCTCAGGAAAAGGCTTGGTTCAGTTCAAATTTTTTTTGCAAGGTTTCAGGTTTGCTCTTGTTTTATGCAAACTTGTTCACAGAGCCCAAGTCTGTATGCGAATTGCACTAATTCTCATGGTCAGAACTGCTCCTATAAACTTTAATGGGCTTAATGACAGCTCCACAGCCTTTCAGTTTCAGAGTACAGTGTTTACTAGGGGTTTCTATCCCCACATGCAACCACATTTCCACTTTTTTCCCACTTTCTGATATTTTTTCAAAATACTTTTTTTCAACAGCTCTCCTGACACATAAGGAAAACACTGATGTATAAATCTCTTTTAACTGTGCAGAGGCGTACTCAAGCCTATATACCACACAAATTATACTGTGCTGATGTGGAACTGAATGTGATACAGACATACTCTTCAGAAATGTTGCATGTCAGTGTACCGTACATGCTTTTTTCCCTGGTGATAATACCCTCATACACTATCTTATGATGAGAAGGAATTCCAGAAATGCTTTTGCTTTGATCCTGATACTGCAAAGATCTTCTTCAGAATAGGTGAGCTCCTGAATGTCTGTTCAGTTCCTAAAGCCTACATCTCGTGCAGGTTAGGAACAGTTTTAGATTATGCATCAAACAACATTTCTTAAAATGACTGTGAACTGTTACCTTAAAGTTACATGTAAACAAACCACACTGTAATAAACAAAACAAAAAAATAAAATAAATAATATATATTAACATGCAAATACAATTCACTATTGTAACTGAGGAAGGTTTTGAATAGCTGCTGATTGTCACAGAACAATGGTAGCACCAAATAGAAGGTTTCCAGGCAGAAATTCCTCTTTCTCTCTCTTCATTCTTCTTTACACTGGTAAGTAAAATGTCAAGGAAATTATTCCAAAACTAAGTTTTTGCCAAAGTGCTCTGTAATCAAAATAGAATAAAAATGCTCTTTTTGACCATTTCACAAGAAAGGACGTTAAAACCATGAAATTACACAAATTATATTATTGGATTGTTGTTTTTTTCTGTAAAGAAGATCATGATACAACAGATGAAAGGTCTGAAGTAATTAAGAAAAAAAATACAATTGCAAGTACAGATTTGTATTTTCCCTTTCTTTCAACAAATGTGAGAATGCCAAGCTTTGATTTCTGAAGGTGTCCATGTAGCAATATGCAAAACTTAACTTGTTTTTCTTTTAGATTTTAATGACATCTATTCATTTTCCCGCTTGAACTGAAAATAAAAAGGGTTGCACTTTTTCCAGTCATCTTGCTTCGTTCTGAACACCACTGTTAATTTTGCCTGGAGTTTGATGATTCCATTCTTTATAGTCCTCTCTACATCTCATAGAAAAACATATACACACTGTAACAAAAAAAGAAAGAAGAAAATCTTATCTCTATAAAAAGCCTTCATTTTTCCAAGAGGTGAATTGAATAGAAGGTGTTTTGGACACTCATGATACAAATAAAATGACTCGTACTGAAGTCATTGGCTGGCATGAGGCAAGTAACTTTACTGGGATTAGTCCCAGTTGCCTTTCAATTCAGCTCCCGAATTTCAGCTGCACTGAATTATTCCTGGTTAGACGAGGGAATAAAGTTATGGAAGAAAACGGATAATGTTATTTCAGCAGTCTAGAGAGATGTCCATCATTTGTTTTTAAAGTTACATTGATGTGTTTATTCAACATTGTCAAAGGTTTGAGTTTATTTCTTAATGGTGTGTTTACATGTCTTCAGCATTTTTTCTCTGTTCCCAAATTACCACTAAATGGCAATAGTGGTACTCAGTGAGTCTTCAATTTGTCAGAAAGACCAATGAGAACTAGTATCACACTAGAATTTGTACTTCCCCTGTGAACTAATTCAAGCTTACTCCTTAATGTTCCAAGTTTAACAGGGTGGATTTGAGATATTTGGTACTATGATTATGCTAGTAAAAAAGTTACAGTCAGGACATCAGTTTGAACAATTTCCCAGGATGATCTGTTAAATATAATTGTTAGAATATTTCCCAGTTTTGACATGAGACAATTAATACTCATTCTAATAATGCTAAGGGGTTAGCACAGGAGGAAGAAGCCCTCTTTTCCCAGGAGCAGCATGGACAAGGTTGTCCTTTCTGAGAAGGAAACATTTCTAGCAATCACAAGGTCTGCCATGGCATTTTTCACCGAGATTGAGATCTGGCCCATTTTCTCTGCTGTAGGGATCAATTGTCCATATGCACGGCAGGGAGTCCATGTGCCTGCTCAGGCTGCAGTGGTCAATGCAGGCAAAGATGGAACTTAAGTGAGTTGCCACGAAGAAAGACAAATCTTGAACTGCATTCTCCATCAGCAAAGACCAAGATATATCTGAATTGGACGTGTTTGGAAGCATAACGGCAGGTCCTCTATATGTCATTTGTTTGACCAGTGAGCTCCATATCTTTCCTTATGCAAGGAAACAAATTAATTATAGCAGATTAATCTTGAACTGATGGAAATAGGATTTCTTGCAAATGAAAAGTAAATCTGATAGTAGTTTTATACTTAAAACTTAATGGTATCTATACAAATGAGAATGCAATTACATAAAATAGCAATTAAGACGCTGATTAATTTTTTTATCCTAAAGACCTCTTTGTTACATTGTGTTAAGCAGTTACAAAATTCTTTTTCCAGTAGTTTGTGCATTCCTTGGCTACAATAAATAATTCTTTTTCTCCCTTTCTTATTTTTCTTTAAGGGAATTCCATAATTATGAGTGGTGCCGGATTTATAGCACTGGAGAAGGAAGACTTCAGCTTTATGGAAGGTAAGCCAGTGGGTGGCAAAAATGCAAATATACTTATGTTGCACTTCCACTTTTTAGCTTCACAAGGAAAAATGGTGTCTGGGACATTCTGGGTTTTGCACTTTGTTAAGAACTTCTACTATGCTCAAATACATCTTTCTATGCGTATAAGCATGTAAGAGAGTAGAGAATGGAAACATTTATGTACCCTTTTCATACGGTTTCCTTTTCTTTATTCAGTCAGAATGAGCATTTGCTGGTTCAGTGAGGGGACAGCAGAGGGGTTGTCTCTCGAAACCAATGGCTCTCTCACTAACTGGTGTTCAGGGAGTTGCATCAAAATTAAAAGATCACAGGTAGAAAGACCATGGGAACTCAGCATTGGTTCCTGGGTTGGATTGTAGGCAGGCTTTCTGCCACCAGAAGACAGTTTTTCTATTCTTTCCTGGAACTTCCCTCCCTTACTCCTTCTAGGAACCTGCACCACAAGAGTGGAAGGCAACTTTATAACTCATAACAATCTCAGCATTCGCCAGCTACTAAGGATTTAAACAGTGGCCCAGACGAATTAACTAACAGTCCTCCATCCAACAGTCCTCCATTTTGTAGTCCTCCATCCTCAAACCAAGTGCACAGAAGGAAGGGAGGGAGGGTTGGAGTTGAAGACAAAGGACAAGAAAGTAGAGTTGACACTTGTGTCTCTGCACCTGCAGGACAGCATGGCAACCTGGATCTTACACTGGGAACTGTACCAAACTACACCAGGAAAACTGAAATTTACATGATGGGAACAAAATACACAGGTGTAGGAACTGGACTAAAACCAGTTACATATTTCACTGGGTAATGTCAATGATAAATTACCAAATTTGGTAGCCAGATTTTACAGAAGTACGAATCTTCTATGCGTCCAGAAGAGAAGATTTAAAATGAAATGGGATACAATTGGTAGGAAATAATTACAAATTGTTGCCATTAGTAAAAACACAGTTTGAATCTGTTGTCTAAGCAGAAACATGCAATTTTTCAAAGTATAAATAGAGTTGGTGAAGTTCTGTGTCAACAAAAGGGCAAAAATGGTTTAAGAGAAGTTAATAGAAAGGTCATAGTTCAGTGCCAGTCATTTCAAGTCAGACTTTTCTGACTGCACATCAGATGAATACAGACTGCTCCAGTTTCAAGCTAATTGGTTTGGGATTTTCCAGTGCTCCTTGCTGCTTGATCAGGAACACATGAGACCATAGAAGTGTCAAAGGATATCATTGGCAATACCCCAGTAGCAAATCTTTCTTCTTTTCTTGCATGGCCCACTTAATTGAACACTCATATCAGTGGCAGATTCATTGCAAAATACGTTTTTCATTTGTATGCCCTTTTTATGAAAGCTGTAAAGTTATATGCTTAAAAGACTTTGGCTAAAAATTTTGTGAAAATGCATAACATTTACTTTTCCTATGCTTGGGGTGGAGTAAGTGGTTCACATTTGTGAATATCCTTGAATAAAATGCATTTTTATTAGCATTTCTATTTACAAGCTATTACCAGATGTCTGATTTAAAAGGCATTTTTGAAAGATTAAATTCAAAATACCTGATATACTCATGCATATGAGGGGGTCCAACAAGTCACATAAGATGCATTAGGGAATACTGAAAACAAGGCTGACTGATGAATTATTTTTCCTTACTTTTACCTTTTTATGTCAATCTGAGGGTGTCTTCAGTACATTACAGAGGCCTTCTGCCCACCAGTGGGTGTTTAGAACAATGGCACTATCTGAAGTAGTCCAAGCTGACAAAACAACAAGGGCCGAAACCTGATCCTCTGTTTTTTATGGAAGAAAAATTCCCACTGATGTCAATGAGAGTTTTGCCTAACAACAAAATCAAGAAATTGCCCCCAAATGATATCTCCAAAGGAGGCTTTACTTATGTCATACAGCTGTATCTCATGAGCCAGCACTCCAGGATTCCATTATTCTTCTCCCAATTGTTAGTGAAATTACTAAGCAAGCCAAAATATAATACCTCTGCTCTGGGAAGTGAGGCTAAAATGTGCGCTGCATATTCTGCATGTACATATAGAGCTTACAGTCAAATCATTATTCTCAGAATAAAAGTTACAGTAACAGGCCACCATGATTGCTACAGTAAAATGAAGGGAATTCACAACAGGGTTATCAAAGTGATATAGCACCATAAAAGTTAGCAATGAAAGGACCTATGGTTGGATCCAAAAATACTTAGGCCCCTGAAAAGGGTTTGTATTGGGTTTTTTTTCAATTCAGTTCATTTTATCCAGTGACTTCTTGATATAATATACAGGAATAGTTCTCTGAAAGTACAGGTTAAGAGTCCAGGACTCCCCTCCTTCAGGAAATTGCCCAGATCTCCCTCTTTTTCTCCGGCCAATGAAGCTTGGATCTCTTTTTTGCATTTACTTTGACAAAATGGACTAAGTTCACCTCCCTCTGCTTCCCCACAGCCAAGGTTTAAGGCACTCAAGGGCAGATACGAATCTTCATGTCCTTAAGAGGGCCTGAATCTGGATTTCCTACACCTTCATGGTGAAGGCTCACACCAATACATTATTATATAGAGGAGGATGGGGAGGGTGTCTTTATGCTCTAGCTTTATAATGAAGGTGGCACCCACAAACAAATTTTGTGAGGAATGCCTTTGTTAGTACATTTTGAGTGGGTCCTGCTCTGTAGATGAAGTCTCTCAGCATGCTTTGGTGAGTAGGTGGCTAAGTTCTGAACCCCAGATGAGCTTTGTTTACTGGGGTAGTCTTCTCTCACATACTCCATTTCTGTCCCTTACCATCCCTGACCCATGTATCAATGTGGAGTGCAAAATGGCATCAGCAGCTCAACAACAAAACTCAAAGATGAGTCCCTCGTTCCAGTAAAGCCATGAAGCCTTGGTGAATAAGCCCGTGGACATATATATGTATACTCTCTTTTTAATAAATTTTGCTCCAAAAATGGGAAATGTTAAGCCACTATGCCCCGTGCAATGCCTGCCACATGAGGTCTTCCTTTCCAATATCCCCCCCCCGGTACCAACACATTTATAATGAAGTGTGTTCTGGGCCATGCAATCTGCACATTGGTGTTTCAACGAGCAAAGTACTGAATGCGGGTTATGGAGAATGTAGCCAGGTTGAGCAATGAGATTGCTGAGCAATGACATGTGGGTTTTTTTCTGATCTTCACTTCTTCTGGCATCACCAGCTAGAATAACATCAAAATACAAGTATATGTCAAAAGCATGAAAGAAATGGAAAAGCAAGAATTTTTTTCAAAGGTTATTGAAAATTCACCTTGGAAATGTGGGGACTTGAATACCAGGATGTACATCAGAAATAGGTTATCATCATGAGATAGAAATCCTGTAAGGAATATAACTTTAGCAATCTCTTTTTATGTTCCTTTATTGTCTCCAGTGGTCAGTGTTGATACTTGCTGAGCTGGTCTCAAGCTGTGCGTGATAAAGGTCTGACAGCTCAGTGACGTTCACCGTATGGTCCATCCACATGCCAATCAGCTATGTGGGAGCTACCACTTTGATGGCCTCTGAGTCTCCATTTTAGTAATCAGGATATGTCATTATGGATTAAAGCATGGTATTTTATTCATTTCAGCAGTTGAATGGGCTGCTGCCACAGTAATGCTGGCATCTTCCAGGTCAGGAGGTAGGCTGTATTGGCACAGTCCAAAGAGCACACACACATCTCCCACACAAACATGTTCAGCGTTACTGTGAGGCCATCCTTGTAGAGAAGTCCAATAAGACTTTCTGGTGTATCAACCATTAATCATAGTTTTATGTCATCAAACTTAGTGAGGGTACACTCTTCCTCATCATCTAGATCTTTAATAAAGATTTTCTCTTCATAGGGTGAAAAAACCTTGCAATTTTTCAAGCTGTCACCTGATTCTAATGTTCTATTGGTGAGTTCTCAACAACGGCACAGGTTTAAAATAAGTTGCTAGTTAAAGTTAGGTATCTGCCAAACAGAAAAAGCAATTAGTATACAGAGTTATGTTTTTCAAATTGATGCAGAAATTTCCCTGGCATTGAAATGAACATCAAAAGTGCTGCCAGTTAACGTGATCAAATTGGTCTTCTAAAGATGAAGTAACAACACATATTTCACCTTCACCATGCTTCTTTCACAATATGTTTCTTGCAGGAAAACAACTTTTGTCAGCCTTCTGGAGTCAATGACCATATACTGCAGCAGGCCTGGGTGACAGCCAGAAAGTGATTGTCTTTGGAGGATCATGGGTAATGCCTTGCTAATTAACTATAATGGTAACCTGGTAATGTTTAATAGTGGGTTAGGCATTGCTTTCCCCTCTCTCAGATGTTATTCGTTCAAGGAGAAAAAATATTTGTAAGGTGATTTCACTTGTGGTTTCAACATATTCTAAATGAACAATCTTTGTTCTCTCACAAATGGTATTGTGTTGGATAACACAGTTGACAAGGTTTCATAAATCCTTTTCCAAGTTCAGTTTAATTGCAATTCAATATTATTTTGTTTCTATTAACCCAGGTAAATAAATAGAGTGAACTGGCAATTTTGAACTGTGATCTATGGCACGGTCCCCAGTGTATTGGCTCATACAAAATTCTTGCAGATCACAAAT